GCCTATGGCAGTTCAGTATCTAAGTGAGCCCCATAGTAATGGGAACAGGGATGTCTCTGACATGAACTAATTGGCCTGCTCTTTGATCACCTCCCCCTGAGGGGGGAGCAGCCTTGCCAGGCCACAAAAGAAGACAATGCATCCACTCCTGATGAGACCTGATAGACTAGGATCAGAGGGAAGGGGAGGAGGACCTCCCTTTTCAGCGGACTGGGAGAGAGACAAGGGTGGGGAAGAGGGAGGGTAGGACTAAGAGGGAGATACAGGGTGGATACAAAGTGAATAAACTGTAATTAATAAAAAGAAAAAGAAAAAAGAAACAAATAAGAAGAAAAAGCAATAAAAAGTCATGGTAGGGGCACCTTAGTGTTTCCAAGTGTTCTTTAGTCTTCCTGGCGGTTAAGACAGGGGAAAAGAGGACCATGGGAGGTGGATTATTACCTTCCCTCAGTTCTTGAGGTCTATCTGACTTGAGAAAGAACACTCATGTTTTGGTGCCAGATACATAAATACTTGATTTTAATATGTACAAGACATTAAGCTATACGGTAGAAACTAATCATGTCATATGACACTGAATTTTCACAATGAATAGAATGAAGGAAAGAATTATGGCACCTTCCTTCATTAATGAATTGGTAGGAGTGAGCACATGCACATAAAAACTGATATGAACACAGGGGCTGGCTCTTTGATTACCTCCACCTGAGTGGGGAGTAGCCTTACCAGGCCACAGAGGAAGAGAATAAAGCCAGTCCTGATGAGACCTGATAGACTATGGTCAGATGGAAGGGGAGGAGGACCTCCCCTATCATTGGACTGGGGGAGGAGCACAGAAGAAGAAGAGGGAGGGGGTGGAATTGGGAGAGGATGTGGCAGTGAGCTTATGCTAGGATACAAAGTGAATGAACTGTAATTAATAAAAATAAAATAAAAATTTAAAAACCTGATCTCTACAGTGAATCATCATCAATCAAAACAGCCTTACTCACCTTGAGGGCTATTGTTGAGCAGCCATAGATGCTCTGCAGCTTACCAGAAAGTCTCTTTTTGCCAGAGTACATTATGAAACTGTAACTTAAGGGATGCTACCACATATAAAAATACCTCATATTTCTCCCTGTAATGGTCAGTGAGCACACACTTGAGCAACTAGCTAATTTACCATGCCTGTAATCCCAACATTGCAGAGGTAGAGAGAGAAGGATCAGAAGTTCAAGGCCATTCATGGTTACTTGGTAAACAAGATATTTTCAAAACAAGCCTAGGCTATAAGAGACTGTCTCAAAAACAAAATGAAGAAGAGTCTAGCTATTGAAATCTATGCAAAGAGCTGTCAAGTCATGAGGGATCAAGTGGTCTTATTTTTCACTCACTTTTCTTTTTCTCTAATGATGAGATTTATATATATATATATATATATATATATATATATATATATATATGTAGTACCATCTTCTTAAGAAAGTTTGCATTATTTTATACCCCATCTCACTGTATCACTAACCACCAACAAACTCTTATCCATAAGCTTTAGAGGATTATTAGACCTGTCACAATGTGTGATTTAATATTTGTTAGCTGAACACTTGGCACAGAAAGTTAGCATGTTTTGTTTAGGGCTATTGCTCACTAGGTGATTCTTGTGACTAAATGTAAGGCTTCCTTTTAAATTGGGGAATAGGGATAGCAGAAATTCTAGTGTGACAGAGCTCTAACAATGTTGTTCCTATGGAATTACTTAGGTCTCCCAATCTAATTCTGTTTGTTTCTAGGGGACAAAAGGACACTTACAAAGGCAAAGAAGCAGTTATAACTTCATATAGCTTGAAAGCACAAGTTATAAGTATGGTTCTGGACTCAAAGAGCTATGTAAAGTGCTCTTTTGTCTGTAACTTGTAGGAGAATGCCACAAGTTTTGGAGCAGGGAAATGCAAAGAAACTGGTCAGAAATGCTGTTTAAAAGTGGCTGTCTCTGTCAGTTCAAATAGTGAAACTTTAGAACATGACTTCGTCCCTCCTGGCTGGTTTACTTCATGACAGACTAATGCCCCTTCCTTTGAAATTAATAACTGGAACTTTAGATTCTTATCTCTCTGACATTCTCTTAAGAATTTATGACCCTCATTCCTGCCATCCCTCTTATTTAATCATTCCAAATCTATTTTTAAATAATTATCTTTGGTACACATACTTTATGACACTATTAATTCTACTCTACAAACAATGAATGGTAGACTTTGGCCAAGGCCTGCAATGTCAAATCAATGCAATCCATTATTCAGGAGATACTAACAAGTATCTCTGATGCAAGTTATAACTTACAGATTGCTCTAAGGAAATGCTACTTTATGCTACTGCATTTGATTCTCAGTGTTCATCTCATGCCCATTATTACAGAGAATCAAATGTGTGGAGTTCAACGACACAAGATTTACAAAAGTTATCATGAAAATCTTCCTTGAAAAAGTGTAAGAAATCACTCATACCCAAGGCATGGAACAGGCTAAGAAAGGTAATCACTTCAAAAAGAAGCTAAGAATACACAATCAAACTAGCTACATTATGTAAGTCTGGTGAAACCTGGCTTCTCAAAAATTCAGTTTTTCTTTTCACAAACAAGACTGAGTGCATAAATTTAATCTTTATTTTAATTGAAACATACTGAGTGGAAACAAACAATTACAAAGGCCAATGAAAATACAATGAAAACACATAATACACACAGTAAGAATGAAATCTCTAATGGTAGAGTTAATACAGAGTTCAGAGATTTAAGACTAAAGAAGACAAGAGGCATTAAAGTTATAACGTTTAAGAGCAGAAAAGGAAATTTCAATGTTCAATTTTCTTTCTGAAACATTTAAATTTCTATGAGCCTCTATGTTATGTGTTTAAGCTCACTTATTCCATAAGCTATTCTGTCATATGCCTCAGCAGCAATTACAAGAGATCACCTCAGTAGCCTCTAAGCCTTGAACACAGCTGTTGCTTTATAGACCTTTATCAAAGGGGACAAAAAAAGTAATGGGACAAATGCCATTTCCTTAAAATAGGAATTCCTCATCTTAGTTTTAAATTATCATCAATTCCTTTTAAAAAAAATATTTATTATACATACAATGTTCTGTCTGCATGTATACCTGTGCACCACAAGAGGGCACCAGATCTAGATGGTTGTGAGCCACCATGTGGTTGCTGGGAATTGATATCCGGACCTGTGTAAGAGCAGCCAATGCTCTTAACCTCTGAGCCATCTCTCCAGCCCCATCATCAATTCTTATAAAAATATTTTAGGTGTTAGAGTCTGAAAAGGGGTACTGGAATATTTTTTAAAAATCAGAAGTTTTAATAGCCCTTACATATCTACATTGTTTTAAAAATACTGATTTTATATACATATAGTACATGCATATAAAAATACTGACTTTAATATACTTATAGTATGTACTGACTTTTATATACTTATAGTATGTTTCTAGTATATAACTGTCATTTGTAAGGATTATACAATGTTAACTACAACAGTTTAATATTTTCTAGTTATACATTAGTAATTTTGGTGGCAGAACACAAGATATGAGTTTGGGAGGAATCAAGACTTAACAATGTCTCCTGTTGCCTTTGATACCTTAGTACAAATGACAATGGCTGTTTTTTTAACTACATGTAAAAGTACCATAGTAACAGATCAGCTTAATAAAAGGTAATGAGCATACCTATTATGCATAAGGCATGCAAATTGCTTCACTGGCCATAATCAGGTCAAATTTAGTCTGTTACTTCAATTCCAAATAAAGTGGTAAAATGTCATTCCAGAATTTTTTGGAACCTGGGAGCCCATTCTCTAAAATTTGTTTTGACTCCATTGGCATTTTAGACCTCTGCTCTTTCCCCCCTCTCCCTGGGTAAGTAGTGGACTTTTTTGAATACATTCCATGTCTGCCATGTTTCATAAACCCTTTTATTTTATGTACTTTTGGGGACTGTTTTCTGTCTTCCTGACTTTTATTTTCAGCTGCTTTTCCACCTACCTTCTTGTATTCTCCTTCCCTGCTATATGAGTCTTCTTCCTCATTGTTGTCCATACACCTTCCATTTTCTTCCCTTTCTTTTTCTTCCCCCTCTTCCTCTCCTTGTCCACCTTCCTCTTCATCCCCTTCTTCCTCTGCACTCTCTCTTTCCTCCTCTTCCAGGTCCTCTCCTTCCTGCTCTTCTTCCTCCTCTCCTTGCTCCTCCTGTCCCTCTTCCTCCTCATCCCCTTCTTCCTCCACAATCTCTCCTCCCTCCTCTTCCAGCTCCTCTCCTTCCTCGTCTAACTCCTCTCCTTCATCCCCTTCCAGCTCCTCTTTCTTCTCTTCTGGATGCTCCCCTTCCTCCTCCTCCTCCTCTTCAAGCTCCTCCCCTTCCTCCTCTTCTAGCTCCTCTATTTCCTCCTCTTCTAGATCCTCTCCTTCATCATCTGGCCCATCTTCTTTCTCCTTCCCTTTCTCTTCCTCTCCTTCCCCTTCTTCCTCTTCTATTTCCTCCTCTTCTTCCTTCCACCCTTCTTTCTCATCTTCTTGCCCTCCCTTCCCTTCCCTTTCCCTTTCTTTCTCTTTCCCATCTAGTTCCTCCTCCCCACTTTTCTCCTCTGATGTGCCTTCTCCTTCCTCTTCCTCTCCTTCTTCTTCTCCCCCTTCTGGCTCTTCTTCCCCTGCTTCCTCTTGTTCCTTTCCTTCATCCTCTTCCATTTCTTGGTTTCTTTCCTCTATGTTTCCTTCATCTGTCTCCATTTTCTCTCCTCCTTCTACCTTTTTCTCCCATCCTTCATCTTCTTCTGTCCTTTCCATAACCGAGATATACCTTTCTGCTTTACTCTTACCTTTCTTTCTCTCTTGTTTTTCCTGAACCTGTTGCCACTGCCCTGCTCCTAAACTACCCTTCTCATAGATTTGATCCCTTTTACCCTCAGATCCATCCTCTACCTCTCCCCTTGACTGTTCTTCACTTTCACTCACCGATTTTTCTGTAAAGATGTCTGACAGGGTTTCTGCTTCTGCCCCCTCCATTTCTGATTCCAATTCCACGTCTTCATCTTGAACCTGTACCAATTGCTCCACTTCTACACTCCCTTCTGAATCATCTGGTCCTTCCTGTTCCTCTGGTATCCCTGACAAGTGGTCATGCTTAAGATCATATTTTGAAACAAATCTGGTTGCTCTGTTCTCAGTCTCACTTCCTTGCTTGGCACAACTCCTGCTGTACCATAAGTAAGACTCAAGCTCCAGTTCATCGCCATCTTTCTCTTCACTGCTAGGTTCTATTGGCTTGGGTTGTTCCAATTCCTTAGCTCTGTCTTGCTGACTGTGCCTTTCACATTCCATGTAACTGTCTGGTTCTTCTACCATTTCTGTTTCACTGTCAAAAATCAAACTCTGCTCACTGCTTTTCCTTTCCTGAAAAATATCTTTAGCCTCTTCAGTTTCAGAATTCATGTCTTTATCTGGTAAGTCATCAAAATCGGAATCTGGTCTTGAGTTCTCTTCCTCTTTTAAAGTATTTTTCATACCTGCCATTCTCATCGCCTCAGTTTGCTTCTCAGAGACTATTTCTTCATCACTTTCCTTTTCTATTTCCTCTTTTTGTAAGCCCTCTTCATCAGTGTTGACCTCAGACCCCACATGGTCTAGGTCATTATCTACTTCCTCATCTGAAAATGCTTCCATAATCTCAGTTGCTCGTACCATGAAGATCCCTTTTGCTAAATATTGTTTGTATAATGTCCCTTCTTTTATTTTTGACATTTCTTCATATTCATAACTATCCTCATTTTCAGTATAAGCTGTACTTTCCATCACTTTCTCAACCGTGTCTTGATTCTGTAAAGGTTTTGAAGTAACCATCACACTATTATTAGTTGACAAAGGCATCTTAGTTATATAAATCATTGCAAAGATTTTACATTTGCATTTACAAGCTAACATGTGTTCAAGGCTCAAGTAATTCAAATTTTACAAACTGGGATACATGTTAGGCCTAGAGGTTCCTTACTTTTTGGCCAAATAAATTATTAAAGACAGGAGTTACAAATTAACAAGCTAATATATAAAAATAGTATGAGAAATGCAATCTTTTTTACTCACTAAAGTAGACCTGACATAGCTTAACATAAAAGCAGTATGTGAAATATGGACAATATATCAGTCTTAAAAGAAGGGTTTTCCATGTCTACTGTTTCTAGAAAATTTTGAAAATTGTAAGTTCTTTTTAGCATCCTAAGGGAGACATGCCCAAATATGAGAAAAAAAAGTTCTAAACGTTTATACCTTTCTTTTCTTAGCAACCCAGAAAGAAAGATTAAGCCTAGCATCTAAGACAACAGCAAGGAAAGACACAGGGAAGATAGCTACTTGAGGTAGCCTACGTCACCAAAGTAGTCAGCACTTGCTGAGCTTATCAGCCATGTCAAAAGAACAGCTCTCCCATGTTCAAAGGCATGCTGTTGCTCACTGTGCCTCTCACTTTTAGAGGGCTGGCTATAAATATTTATAATTCAGCAAGATCTTTCTGAATTTTGTAGGATCTGGTTTTAAGAAATTTTACCTAACAATGTAGCAAAGGCAGTGAAAAATATAAATTAAGTGATTTCCAAAGCCAAATGTTGAAGTAACTTCCAAACACCTCATATTTATATTTCATTGGACCCTAAAGTCATAAAAAGCAAAACATGGCAGAAAAGGTCTGCATTATCTAGGGCTGTGGACCACAGACTGTATTTTGCCCCTGACATTATTACTAACTAAAACCTCTCTTTCTTATGCCTTATCTACAGCCTCTTACTAATTTCTAAATTTCATTTTAATCCATTTTATGCTAATCCTTTCTTGATAATGTCCAATCCAAACATTGTAAAATAATTTCCAAATAGTTTACACTAAAAAAATCTGAAACATTTTAGAGCTAGTAAAATGTGAATATTACCAGCAAAATCAGCATAGTGACTCATGCAAAGTCATACAAAACCAAATTAAGAGGTCCACTCTGATAAATACTAGCCTCTTTTCCAAAGTAAGAGCTACAATGATTACTGATTAATTGGTAGAAAAGAGCTCTCATCATAGCTTAGGTAAGTAAGTGGAAGGGCAAATTCTAGCAGTAAAATTATATGAGAAAATAGCTACCAATAAAAGAAATCAAATGGGAGTCACCTACATTGCATTCTTGTCTTTCAAATTTTAATTAGTGAATGATTACCTTTTTGTCTTCTTTCAGCAAAGTTTTCAAAGAAAGATAATTAAAACTGTTCTTCCCATAATAATAATAATAATAATTAATAATAATAATAATAACTCTGTGTTATACCTGTTGAAAATTTTGAACTGGTGAAAATTTTAATGACTTCTCACTGGAACTCAGGCTCACCATATGTGTCTGAAACAAATAAAAATATGTTCTAGATTAAATGGAAAAACTATATATGAATAATGAATGCAAGAAACACGGGTATTAATACAGTCTATTCACAGCTGCCATACTAATGATGTCAGGATAGAAGAGCTACTTAGAACTTCACAAATAGATTTGATATTCAAGATATTGCTTAAAACAACCCAGTGCCTTTCAGCTTCTCCATATGAGAAGGAAAACAGGAGCCTTCTGTTTGTTTAGGTGGATGAGTACAGAGGAGAGTAGCAGAATGTAATACTAGAGTGACAGATTTTTAGAGATGGATGGAGTTTGGAAATAGAAATGTGAAGAAAGAGGTGTCCCAAGACCAATCACATGGCAGTTAGCAGGGGGAAAAGAGTACACCCTGGGAAGTTAATAGTGAAAGACAAAATGCCTCAGTAAGCTTTACTAGTCCAGAATTTGGTACTCAGGGGTTTATGGAAATCCCTGGAATGACCTCACAGACTTCTGAATTTAGCCTTTGTAGGCCTAGATATAAAAAGATACAACCATTTATTCATTCAACAAAATACCATGTCTCATTATGACATTGTCACACAGGCATAGTGTGTACTTCAGTCATACTCATTCCTCTACTACCCTTTCCGATCCCATTTACCCTGACTCCCTAAATAGTTCTCTTTCTATTTTCATGTTATATTTTTCTTTACAGTCAAGATCCCATGCATGAAAGAAAAATGTGGTATGTGTGTTTCTGAGTCTATGGGCTTATATTTGGTTTCCTCTGTGTTGTGGCACTAATTACCATTCACCACTCAGCTTTAGAACTATAAGAAATCACACTGTCAGGCTGGGGAAGACATTCCACAGTCTAGACAGACAAGAGCCTTCAAATCAGCACAGCAAGCTCTTTCTGGAGAAATTCTCCATACTTCCAAAGTTATTCTCACGGTGCTACAACTGGGATGGTTTACTGTCAAACTGCTCTGGGAATTAAAGCATCCTATATTTTTCTCTTTGCAACCATGTTGTGCAGCAATTTCCTTCTAACTGAAGCATTCCATCTTAAAGAGGAAGAAAACAAATCACAAGTCTTAGGTAATCACAAGTCTCTCCTTCTGCACCACAGAAGCAGGAAGGACTACTGATGGGAGGAGGCTCTCTGATGAGCTGCCTTCAAGTTATAGAAGTTCCAGAGAGGCATTTTTTTTTGGGTGGGTAGCATCACATATATGATGGAATGGGATTTTTAGTGACAGGATTTTCACAGATGACCATGGAGTCATGTATGTACTTATAAGTAACCCCTCACTCACATTCCTGTAAGTAACCCACAATAAACACATTGGTTCACCAAGATAGACTTTGGTAGTACTGTTACTATGGTCTTTTGTTAATTTCCTGTATGGAATGAATATATGTTTGTTCATGCCTCCCCATCAAAAGCTACACAACAGTTTCCAGGCAATATTGCACTAGATCAATAGGTATTAGCCTAGAATCGAGTTGGCCTGAGGGAAGACATAATAATACAATGCCCATGAGAAGAATTCTGTACAGTAAGAAATTAGGATACAATAAAGAGTTGAAAGGAAGGTGCTTTCCTTGAAAACAGGAGTCTTTGGAACTGAACTGTCAGAAGCTAGAGAAGCAGAATTGAATAATATTCTGCATGATAGCCACATGTGAGTTCACAGAGTGGGTTTACCAGACTGACATTATACACATCATGTCAAAACTTACTGAACAATGTCAAATAGTCCACAAGAACTTTATATCAGGAAGTCCAATTACAATTAAATTCAACGCTACACAACAAACTGATACCTCAATGTATACCATTAGGAAAGGGATCCTTACTAATTAGGATCGCACATAATCGTGTAAGACACATCCATTTCAACAAATGTGCAGATATCAACATAAAAGCATACTATGAAGGCTGTGGTCTTTAGGCCATCATTAGTTCAAGGCCAACTTGGACTACAGAGTGAGTTATAAGAAAGAATGGCTACAGAATGAGACCCTGTCTCAAAAGTAACCAACAGCAAATAAGCTAAGAAAGTAGCACCCAGTTATATTTAAAGGTAAATAAATTAGAATAAGATAAGACTTATCAGCAGAAATTAAAGACTAGAGAGAATGGAATAATAATGTATTTCAATTAATAGAAAAAAAAAAAAACCTGCCACTCAAGATCACCATACTTGGTATGCTGGCTAGTATCATTGTCAACTTGAGAAAAGCTCAAGGCAGCTAAGAGGAAAGAACTTCAATTGACAAAATGCCTCCGTAAGATCAGGCTGAAAGTAAGCCTAAAGGGCATTTTCTTCATTAGTGATGGATGTGGGAGGACCCAGCCCATTGTGGGTAGGGCCACCCAAAGGGTTCTATAAAAATGGAAGTTGCATGGAGCAAGCCAGTAAGCAGGACCACCATGGTTTCTGCATCACCTCCTGCCTTCACGCTCCTACCTTCACTGCTTTTGATGATGAACTCTTATATGGAACTGTGAGTGAAATGTGAAATAAAAACCCTTTCCTTCTCAAGTTGCTTTTGGTTATGGTATTTCATCACAGCAACAGTAACCCTAAGATTCCTAGCAGGGTTATCTGTCAAAATCACAGGAAACCTTCCAAGATAATTATGTACTAATCTAAGTCATTTCTAATAGACCAGTGTCTCAGAATACAAAGTAATCCTACACCTAGAAGAGGAAAGGGGGCAAACACAATCATGAGAGCAATGAAAAGAATACATCTTGCTATAAGAGTAGGTATACATATGAGAAATATTATCTGTATTCTTATCCCACCACTTCTAGGATAAGAGAAAGAAATTCTAAGACAAGAAGAAATAAACTGTTGCTGTTTTTTTTTTTTTTTGAAAGAAGTAAATCAAGAATATATACTCATACCTTTCAATAACAACCTGAATGTAAATTGTTTTAATTTACCAATTAAAAGATACAAATCAGGTGACTAAATTTAAAAAATAATGAGCAATATGCTCTATGCAAAAAGAAAAGAAAAAGCATCAACAAAACCTAGAGAACTGAAAGGAATGGAAATTTATTTCAAAGTGAATGAAATCTGAACATAAACCAGAGTAGCTATACTAATATCTAACAAAAAAAAATACTGAAAGCCAAAATTAGAAACCAAGACTGTCACTACATATTGATCAAGGGAACCATTCATCACAAATCCATTGCATACACATAGACACACGTGCACCAAATAGTGAAACCCTCAATTTTTACAATAAAATTGGCTCCAACACAATAATAGTGGTGACATCAGAACTATATTCTTATCTAAGAAAACAATCAACAAAGTCATATTAGATATAAATTACACTATAGAGCAAATGGATCTAACATGTATTTCAACAGATATAGAATGCACATTTCTTGATATCAGCATATGTAACTTTTTCTAAAATAGCCCATAAGGCCATAAAAGAAACTATAAATTTTTCAAAAACATTTTAAATTTTGACCTCTTATCAGACCACATGGAATAAAAAAAAGGAAAATAACAGAAAGCAATAGTAAGAAAAACTAAACCCATTACACAAACACATGAGGGTTAAATAATAGTTTTCAGTGACCATCAGAGATCACCAAAAATTTCAGGGGAGGGTGAAGGGATCAGTATTGGTTTAGAATACCCCAAGACCAAGAGGTACTGTCATAGGTTTTGATTAATATTTACTGTTGATATATCTTCTGGTAACGCTGCTGTTGATCCTAAACAGCTGTATAACCAAATCACCACATACAGACTGGATTTATTTAGTTAACCTAGAACACAATGCTAGGCAATAGTTACTCCATCCTAAACCTCCAAGCCCGCATGTTTCCTAACATTTAGATTCATCCATTATACTTGTTTTTAGTGAAATCTTAGGTCCGGTTCATTCTCCACACCGTACCAAGACCTCTCTTCTAGCCTTGCTCTCCCAGCTCTCCTGCCCTTCTCTCCTCTGCCTCTCACCTTCCTGTCCTCTGGCTCCTCCCTCTCTTCCTGCTTCCTTTCCCCTGCTCAACACTGTGGATAGTTGCTTTATTTTGGCATGTTTACCGGTTGAGACAGGTGAAGCTTAGAATAAATATCACAATGCAATATCGGGATTGAAACCAGAGAGTGGGGAAGAGAAATCAGCATTTGAATGAACAAGGGTAAAGTGTATACATTCCAAAAGAATATTATACCAACAAGGGACAAAATGCAAGGAATAAGAGATAAGGACAGGAGATAGACAATGAGGGAAAAGAGAAAGGGTACAGGGGAGGGGGGTTAAGATTTTTTGTTCTGGGGGAACAAAGTACTGTCTATGGATAGAGAGGAGACAAACCAGACTTGGCACATAGGAAAAGGGCAGTTTATAAAGGTACAATGGAAAACCCCCTGGTAAGATGAGGTGTTTAATTTTAATTGAATAAGTTAATTAAGGTAGCCAAAGGGGGTTTTTGATTGCTAAACTTCAATAAACTTTGATAGCTGGACCTTGGTAGTCAGGAGGAGGAAGTGGCCAAATAAGGGATTAGACCTTGGTGACTAGCTTTAGGAAAGTAATCTAATGGTTTTTAGAAAGGCAGAGGGAAAGGGGGAGAAGGGCAAGGCCTGCCAGTCATGCTTGCCATGCTTAGCTTGGCTAGAGACTTAAGGCCCTTCAGAGCCTGTTATGTGAAGGGGCTGGTACAAGAGAGTAAGAATAGGGCAAGAGAGGGTGAAAGGGTACACACGATCAAAGCATGGTTTATGCAGGTATGGAAATGTCACAGTGAAACTCACTAATATTAAGATGTACTAATGAAATATTAACGAAAACCAGCTTTTTACATGTAAAAGAATATAGAAAGTATTACACATTTCGTGAGAAACTAAAATTTATATAATTCATGTCTAAATAGACAGGAAATAATTACCATATTTAAGACATCAGTAGTTTCATCTAAGTTTTCTGAATCTACTGCAGAAGAATTGTCTGTCTCTGTCTCTTTGTTCATTTTATCTTCATAATAATCTGAATGAGTAAAAGGAAAAGGAAAAAGTCAAACTCAGTTCTTAAAAAACATGAGAAAAGAAAGTAAACAAACAAACAAACAATCACTCTATAATATATCATGGGGTGTAATTGCGCCCAAGGCCCTTTAATCTTGTAATTGGAGATGAACAGCAGTCATTCATAGGAGTAGCACATTTTCAAATCTCATATTTAAAGTTTAACTACTTTGTTGGCAATTATGTAGCAAAAGCTTCATCCAAAAGGACATGCAAACACTATTCCTTTGGAATAAATACTTCTCATCTTACTGCCAGCTAGCCCGACAATTGTCCCAATGACCCACACTTCCCTGATAGACTTTCCTCATTGAAGTTCTCCATGCAAATGATATGAAGTTGAATTCTATGTGAACGATCAAACAAGTTAAGGACATACTGTGACATTTCTATAGTTTCTTGGTCACACACATGTGCCTTCTATCTTTCTGACTTCTTTCTCTAGAAGCCATATTGTGAGTATTTCTAAGGAGAAGCCTATGCCTTTATGGCAAGGATGTGAAGTGACTTGCTAACGGTCAAATGAATGAGCCAGAAGTCCAGTGAAGCTTCCAGATACTATCATCCCATTTAACAGCACAAGTCCAGGAAAGTACCTACACATGAAGCACTGAGCCATGCTCCTCCTGAATTCTTGACTCTCAGAAATTGTATCAAATAATAAATATGTTATTTTGACCTGTTAAAGTTTGATCACCTTTTTGTAACAATAAAAAATACTAGTATAAGCATTTAGAGCTTCTCAAAAATATTGGTGATATCATAGAATATTATAAAACAAAAATTCCAAAACAATTGGCTCAATCTGAACTTACACCTTTGTCCATTTGTCACTATGCTCTTTTTGATCACCTGATTATACATGGGGTACTTCCTGAGGAAATTTCCATTAAAAATGTCAGTATACACTCGTTGTTCCCTTTTAAATACTTCCAATTAAATGTGTACTCATTTTACATTCCTCCCATATGAGATAATTTGTAGAGAAAACTTAATTAATAATTATTTCTGTGTTTTAATTATCTATATTTAAGGTATAAAATAGTGGTGTTTGTGTGCATGTGCATGTGTGTGTGTTCATGAGGACGAAGTAATGTAAGAGTTAACACTTAATAAACATAATAGAAGGGGTATAGAACATAGGATACTGGGTAAATTTAAAAACCACACACACACACACACACACACACACACACACATATGGAATCAGGAAAGATTTCACTTATATGATACATGAAAGAACAAGTAGAATTCTAAGAGGTGGGTAGAGATACAGGTGAAAGGGGGAAAAAAAGAAAACCCAAGTACTAATAAAGCAAAGTAGAGAGATACACAAGAAAGTAGCTTCTGTTAAAGATTTCCCAAGTGTCAGAAGCATATACTTTAACTTATGTTGGGTTAACCCTGTGACAATGAGAGAAAAGCAAGCTTCATTGACTCTTGTGTCTAGCTCCCATAGCTGGAGTTTTGTCTGACTCTACAGCCCATCCTCTTTTCAGTAAGTCAAACTAAATAACTCAGTTCAGTCAATACCAAGGCAATAGTTAATATCTGAAGATGTTTTTTGAAAGTTTCAAATGTGAAGTAAAGACTACTTAACATCTGAAACTTTCAAAAACAGTTTATTACTCCATGTGTGGGGAGAAGGTAGAAAAAGTGTGTCTGAACTCCCTGCACCTGGACTTACAGGTGGTTGTGAGCTGTCCAACATGGACACCCAACATAGGTTACGGGGATCTCAGCTCTGGTCTTCGGCAAGAGCAAGTGCTCTTAACTGCTGGCCTTTCTCACCAGCTCCAACCTCTGACATTTTAACCCAAAAGCAGATATTTACAATACACAAAGGAACCGGGATGGCTGGGTTTCCATACATTTGCACTTACAAAAATAGGACACCAGGTAGATTTATATCATTGGCCATAGTTTGCTATCTCCTATCCTAGATGAATATTATACGAAAATATTATTGAAGATGAAGCTAGAACAGCAGGTGGGCTGCATATAGGAAATTTTATAGTTACTTTTATAAATATCAGGAATCTTCAGAGGACAAAGAACAGATAGGCATTAAACTGCACTTTAGAAAGATTGATATGGAAACTGTCACAAAAGGACAGATTGGAGAACAAAGAGAATGTAGGTTTGGAAAAGAAAGCAGTTTTTATAAACTGACAGGGCCTTGCCTCAGGTTTGATTGAGAAAATATAAGGCACTAGGCTACATCTACTTTCTGTGCTCACCAATCTGTCTATCTGTCCATCTATCTATCCATCTCTCTCTCTCTCTTTCTCTCCCTACGTACCTATCTAGTCCATATTTCTCTATATTTATATCTCTCTATTTCTATATCTTTATATACACTTTTGTATCCAACTTCTCATTTTCCTATTAAAGTGGAATGTATCATCTCTGCCACCAAAGACTGTTTTATATGCCAGCTTCTCAAGTGTACCAAGACCTCTATATCTTGTCTCCAGTGCTACCATGCTCTCCTGGACTACTGGCTCACCTCCATTAACTTACACATTGTTTCCCATTGGCCTCATAGTTCCCTCCAGCAGCTAGCTAGCCTGTTTCTTTCATGAAATTTGCAGGCCTTAAATGATTCTGTGTGTATCAGCCATTGCTCTATAATTGCTGCGGTGGTAAGTGGTGTATATTATTATAGATTTCAGCTGCAGTTTGAGATGTCAGACTCTAGGGAGAGGATAGTTGAACAAACTGGATCAAAGCCTTGTGCTGCATTTATTTCCAGTGCTGGGACTCAATCCCAGGACCAAACCCACATTAAGCAAGTCCTATGTTTCACCGCCAACCTATATCTCTGGCCCAGCAGAAACATCTTATGATAAACATGAAAAAGGCAAGATTGCAAGGCCCATTTCTTTTGAAAGCAGGCCAGCATTACCTGAGCAAAGTGGCTCCATGGAGTCCGAGAGGCTTTTCTCTTGGTAACTATTCACAGATGAACGGAAAGGGATTGAATTAGGGGGAAAATGAGAAGTTGAAACGGAGGCAGAAGTCCCATCTAATGGAGGCAGTGTTCCCATCATTGAAGTAGGGCATGTGGGTCTCTCCTTTAAAATAAAGTGAAACAGATTGTCAAATGACAATATATATAGCGTCTACACACACTTTTTTGTAGTTACTGAAAATATTTAAGAAAAAAGCTTCCAAGGACTCAACAGCCTTCTGTTTTTGTTTTGTTGTCTTTGTTTGTTTGTTTGTTTGTTTGTCGTTGAATCTCAGGCACTCCAAACTGTCATTATCAAAGCCTATTTTCCATTTGTTAGGGAGTGTGTTTGTGTTTCATCTGTCTACTCTAAGAAACAAAAATATGCTCATAAGAAACAAAAATTACCAGACTGATGTGACAGGTTTCAATATTTCCACATATACTATTGCATAATAAAACTTTTTACTTCAAAAGGAATACATTTTAGAACCTAAAGTAATTTTGAAAGCCTTTAAGCATTAATATTTTTTTAAATATGTACAACTTATATAGCAATTTTAAAGCACACAAAGAGAGTCTCTAAGTGTAACTGGTAGGAAGCATTTCCTTTCTCCAAGTAAATGACTTATTTCTTTGTTTTCATGTTTCATTGTTTCTAGTCTATCATCTTCCACTGCTCGGGAGGCTTAGAACAAAAGGAGGCAGCATTACACTGAATGATTAAGTTCTCCATATCTGTTGTACAATATAAAACTATCTTTTATGCTAATTACATATTATATATTCTAAAAGCCATGTTACATGCATAGAAATGTTCTTAGCACAGTATTACAAAAAAGCATGTAACAAATAGTCAATCCACATACATCTTAAAAAACAATCAAGGGGAGGGGGCCAAGATGGTGGCACCGGGAGAACACTGTGTCTGAGAAACGGGACAACACACTCCGTGCAGCGACGAGGAGACTGAACTCTGGGCCCTAAAACAACAGTTATCATGTTTCCCAGGTGAGGGGAGGCTCTCACGGCATGGGAATTGGTCCGGTCCACTCTCGGCTGCCCAGCCAGAACCCGGAAGAGAACCCGGCTAACTCGGGCTTTGGTTCTCCGGGCTGGTGCCGCAAGCCTGCGTGTCCCGATCACTTCCCCAGGCTGATCGGTGGGCACAAGGGTGCCTGAGGCTGAGAGTCCCAGTCGCAAGAAAACCCCACAGGGAAGGAAAGTTGCCAGACTGGTCACGGGTCACCCAGTCTTTCCCTGGAAGGTCTCTCTGACCACGGGTACCTGCCACCATCACAATTGAGCTCCCGCCGCGCACGGATTGCAGCTGCACGCCCAGCTCAAAATCCGTACTCCCTCTTCGGAGGAGGCAGGAGGCGTCCAGCAGAATCTGCCACAGACCACATTGTCTGTACCCCAACCCAAGATCGGGGCTGAGAAAACCCAATCCTTTCGGGCACTCCCCCAAACGCCGCCATAACCCTGCCACAGCCAAGCAGAAGGATAAAGAGGCGCACAGCGGCTTCACAGTGCCGGAACTCCAGTGCTGCTGGCTGCTCCTAGAAAACAAACTACAGCTCGGGATCTGGGACTGTGGTCATTCTACACATCCTGAGATTCTCCTGGGTCCAGCGCAATAAGGTCTAGCAGCAAGTTCTATCACCGGCGCCCCCCCCACCCCCCACCCCTGGCAGAGAACGCCGGCTCAGGATCTGACTGAGAAGCCCCAACCCCTGCTGGCACTCCCCTGAGAGCACCTCCATAAGCTTGCCCTAGCAGAGGGGAAGGTCAGAGGGGAAGGACAGAGAGGCAGCCTGCCAAGGACACAGCACCCTCTCTCCAGCTCACCCAGCGGCCCCTAGCAGAGAAACCCAAGCTCTGGATCTGAGGACACTCAACCATACCTGGTACTCTCTTGGGATCAGCAAACATAGATTCTACCACTAGGCTGCTTCTGGCAGAGAGATCTGGGCCCAGGATCTGGGATTGAGTACACTCATCATAACTCTTTCCCGTGCCACCCAGGGACCAGTCAACATAACCCCTCCTGGCAGAGGGAAAGGACAAAGAGGCAGCACACAGGAAAGGTGGACACCGAGTCCTGCGGCCACAGTGTCACAGAGCTGACTGTTAGCCTACCCATGCAATTCCGCAGCAGGACCAAAACAGAGAGTAGTGAGCAAGGGGAACCCCTGTGCATTCCAACTGGTCCTGCAAGAGACCAGTGAGTGCAAGAGAGTGAGTGAGCCTCCTAGGGAGAGATTGCCCCAGACCCAGGGCCTCTCCACAGAAGTAACCAGACGAGATCCCTGCCACCCACACCCCTAGTGTGGGCATCATAGGGATTCTTGGGATAGCGACCCCAACATTGAAGCCTCTGCCTTGCGGGTCCAGCAGGGTAATCCAGGCAAACAATCCCTGGATCTCAGTCAGAACTGCATAATAGTGGCTTGCAGGCCACTGCAATAGTCAGAGAATCCGCGCATGCACACTGCGCCCGCTAAAAGCACACGCGAATAGCGCCAGCGTCACATTCCTTACTTAGGCAAAACTGAAAACACAGTGCACACTCCCAAAGCAGTGAACCTCTCTCATCTTCCTGAAAAAACAGTCCAGAAAACAGAAAGAGAGGATCATAGCCCAAACTACAATCTCGAGGAACAACCAGTGAGGATTACAAATAAAGGCAGACGTAAGAACACTCCCAACAAAAATCAGGACATAATGACCTCACCAGCAACCCCCACAAAACAATGGACACTTCAATTCACTAGATATACAAGAAAACGACCTCAAAACTATGTTTCTCCAGCTATTAGAGGACCATAAAGATGAAATGAACAAAGCCCTCAGAGAAATAACCAAAGAAATCGAGACTAACCCAGAGGAAAAAAATCGTGCTCTCAGAGAAATGACCACGAAAATTGAGGCAAACAGAAAAAATGCACAAAGCTCTCAAAGAAATGTCCACACAAATGAAGGCAAATAAAGAAATAAACAAAGCTCTCATAGAAATACAGGCAATTATACCCAAAGAAGTAGAGGCACAATTAGTGATACATTGAGAAGAAACGGACAAAAAAATAGAAGCTATCATTGAAAAGCAGGAGTCCACATTCAAACAGATGAAGGAAATGGTGCAAGACATGAAAACAGAATTAGAATCAATAAAGAAAACACAAATAGAGAAAAACCAGGAGCTGGAGAACATAGAGAAAAGATCAGGAACTACAAAGGTAAGCATCACCAACAGAATACAAGAGATGGAAGAAAGAATCTCAGGAGCCGAAGATACACTTGAAGAAATTGACACGTCTCTAAAAGAAAAAATAAAATCAGAAAAGTTCCAAACACAAAACATCCAAGAAATCAAGGACACCATGAAAAGACAAAACCTAAGAATAATAGGAGTAGAAGAAAAAGAAGACATCAGGCTCAAAGGTCCGGAAAATATTTTCAAGAAAATTATAAGATATGATAAACATAATGAAATCTATACACCTAAAAAAGATAATCAAGAGAGCAGACATGGGGTAAAATTATCAATCCTCGTTTAGAAAGACAGATGGGATGCGCATTGAACATATGACAGGAGTCTACTGAGCACATTTGAAAGACTCTAACTAGCAGTGTTTTCAGAGCAAAGACTCATGACCAAACCTTTGGCAGAGTACAGGGAATCATAAGAAAGAAGGGGAGTTAGTCTGATGAGGAAAGGATAGGAGCTCCACAAGGACCAAATATATCTGGGCACAGGGTCTTTTCTGAGACTGACATGCAACCAAGGACCATGTATGAATATAACCTAGAACCTCTGCTCAGATGTAGCCTATGGTAGCTCAGTAACCAATTGGTTTCCCGTAGTGAGGGGAACAAGGACTATTTCTTTTCTTTTTTTTTTTTTTTCTTTTCCAGAGCTGAGGACCGAACCCAGGGCCTTAGCAAGCGCTCTACCACTGAGCTAAATCCCCAACCCCCAAGGACTATTTCTAACAGGAACTCAATGACTGGCTCTTTGGCCTCCCCACCCCCCAAGGGAGGAGCAGTCCTGTTAGGCCACAGAGGAGAGCTTTGCAGCCAGTCCTGAAGATACCTGATAAAACAGGATCAGATGAATGGGGAGGAGGTCCCCCCATCAGTGGACTTGGCAAGGGGCACAGTGGAGATGAGGGAGGGAGGGAGGGAGTGGGAGGGAATGAGGAATTGGGACACGGCTGGGATACAGAGTTAATAAAATGTAACTGATAAGAAAAAAATAAAATTCAAAAAAAAAGATGTAAAGTGAACAACTAAATAAATAAAGTTAAAAGAAAAAAAAGAAATTAAAACATTAAGCACAGTTCAAAAAAAAAAAACAATCAAGGGACCACTTACTTTGAGGTAAGGAAGATCTATGAAAATGTGCTGTGTTTAATAATCATCTAAAAAAAGTTATCCATGTTAAATGGAATTTTCCAATTTGTATTCCTTAGTATCTCAACTTTGAACTTGCTATAAAAGTTTAAAAGCCTTAACATGTGATCATTTTATTACCAGTTTCATCTTGAAAGTCCCTCCTTTAATTAAAAAAAAATTGTCCCTGTATTTACTGTTCTTGTTTTATGATTGTTTGTTTGTTTGGCAGTGGCAGGTAATATTTTCATACAGAATACAGCACAACTGTACCCGCTCTCTTCGACGCAAACGTGCTGATAAAGAAGTTCCTGGGGAGAGGTCACTTATGGCCAAAGAACACATATTTAGGTAAGGCTCATATGCCTCTTCATATTCAGGGTCATCTGCTGAAGTAAGTCGCGGAGTGGCAAAAACTAGCATGTGACATCCACCACAGGCAATCTGCAAGCACAAGTACATAGGAAAATTAAATAATGATAACAGCAAACACAAGTGGACTAACACTAACTCAGAAGACTGTCTAGTGTATGGCTTTTCCCTGTTCTATCATTCTCCATATCTATATCTATCTATCTATCTATCTATCTATCTATCTATCTATCTATCTATCTACACATACACACAAGTAGACATATGTAGATATGCATGTATACATGTATAGATGTATACATATACATGAATTAAACATATATTCTTTAAACATTTACAAAAAAAGTAAAACCAGTCTACTCCACCTTCCAATTTAATATAATCTTGTCACAGTTGGTATCTCATTAAAACTTAGAAAATGTTGTATTTGATCTTTGGGACAACATTAAAAAGTCACAAAATATTCAGAGAATAAATAAATTACTCAAGAAGGACAATGTCTCTGACCATTATAACAATAAATATACAGCAGTTATACATATCTGTACACAGTCTGCACAAAATTTGGCCCCTCATATTCTGGTAACACTCTATTCTAAGGAACTATTGGTAGTTATTGGTTACTGAGGAAGAGGGAGACATTTTCTTTAGTGGTGCAACCAATAGTGTGTTGGCCATGTTCTAGCAAATAGTCCCCTATCATGCTTATGTAAGCAGTTCTAAATTAAGTAAACCAAAACAATTAAATAAATAAATAAAAATAGGCATGAGAGTAAAAGATGCGCTGGCTAAGAAGAAAGCTTTAAGAGGGAAGAGGATATGACAGATTAATGAGATGAATGCAATCATAACACACACACACACACACATAATTGTCAAAAATAAATACAAAAGTTTGGCTATCAGTTTCAGCATCTGCTTCAATATAACAATCAGTAGAGTCTTTCAGAGGCTTTCTGTGGTAGGCTCCTGTCCTGCTCCCTGTCTTCTCCCACTTCTGATGTCTATCCCATTTGCCCTTCTGAATGAAGATTGAGCATCTTCCCTAGGGTCCTCCTTATTGTTTAGTTTCTTTAGGACTAGAGATTTGGGTATGTTTATCCTATAATACAAGGCTAATATCCACTTGTAAGAGAGTATATACCATGTATTTCTTTCTGCTTCTGGGATACTTCACTCAGGATAATCTTTTCTGGTTCTCACCATTTGCCTGCTTATTTCATGATTTCCTTGTTTTTAATTGCTGAGTAGTATTCCATTGTGTAAATGTACCACACTTTCTGCATCCAATCCTCCATTGAGGGACATCAAGGTTGTTTCCAGATTCTGGCTATTACAAATAGAGCTGCTACGAACATTGTTGAGCAAATGTCCATGTTGTATATTTGAGCATATTTCGAATATATGCCCAGGGGTGGTATAGCTGGATCTTAATTTTCCGAGAAATCACCAGATTGATTTCCAAAGTGGTTGCACAAGTTTACATTCCCAACCAGCAATGGAGGAGGGTTCCCCTTTCTCCACATCCTCTCCAGCATGTGTTGTCACTTGAGTCTTTGATCTTAGCCATTCTGATGGATGTATGGTGAAATCTCAGGGCTGTTTTGATTTGCATTTCCCTAATGACTAAGGACGTTGAACATTTCTTTAAGTGTTTCTCTGCCATTCGATATTCCTCTGTCGAGAATTCTCTGTTTAGCTCTGTACCCCATTTTTTAATTGGATTGCTTGGTTTGTTGTTTAACTTCTGGAGTTCTGATTGCAGGGAATCTTATGAAAGAAGGGGGAGATAGAAAGTCCTGGAGGGGACAGGAACTCCACAAGGAGACCAACAGAGCCAAAAAATCTGGGCCCAGGTGATCCTGCAGAGACTGATACTCCAACCAAGGACCATGTATGAGGACCTAAAACCCGTGCTAAGATGTAGCCCATAGAGTCTTTCTCCAAGTGGGTTCCCTAGTAAGGTGAGCAGGGGCTGTCTCTGGCATGAACTCAGTGGAAGGCTCTTTGATCAATTCCCTTGCGGAGGGTGGGGGGTTGCAGCCTTGCCAGGCCACAGAGGAAGACAATGCAGCCAGTCCTGATGAGACCTGATAAGCTAGGGTCAGATAGAAGGGGAGAAGAACCTCCCCTATCAGTGGACTGGGGGAGGGGCATTGGGGGAGAAGAGGAAGGGAGAGTGTGACTGAGAGGAGCCAAGAAAGGGGCCTATAGCCTAAACACAATGTGGATAACCTGAATAAGTAATAAATAAATAAGAAGTAATAAATAAGAAAAAATAAAGGCAGTTCTAAAATAGAAAAAAGTAATTAAAAAAGAAAAAGAAAGTGTTTTCAAGCCTTTTCCTTTACAAGAACACTCTCTAAATTAAAGGCTTATGTTTTGTTGTTGTTGTTGTCTTGTTTTTCAAGATAGGGTTTCTCTGTGTAGTCCTGGCTGTCCTGGACTCACTTTGTAGACCAGGCTGGTCTCAAACTCACAGAGATCCAGGTGCCCCTGTCTCCTCAAGGGCTGGGATTACAGGCATGTGCCACAGTGCCCAACAGGCTTATAAATCTTTAGACGAAAATACAGGCACACTAAAAAAAATACTGAAAAATAAGACCACTAATGAGTTTTAAGAAGTAAATGCTTTTCACAAAAATGTTAACAAAAACCCTATACTAACAACTGTAGTGACAGAATTAGTCTTCTCCAGATATGAGCCTTCTGATTGCTTATTTAATGCAAGGGACATGCAGGCTACACACAACAACTCAGTATGTTATCCTTATATACTTATTTGTTTATATGTATATGGAAAAATGATTAAAGAAGAGGATGTGAATTTGGGAGAGAGGGGTCATTGGGAAGAATAGGACACAGGGGAAGTGGTATAATTATGTTTATATTAATTTTTAATTAGAGGAATTAGCAAATCTATCTCAATAATATTCCTAAATATAAATGATCTTAATTTGTCAATAAAAGTCATTGAAAAAAGGAGCCTATAGTATTTTTCAGACTCAGATTCTAGCCACTTTGCAGTGCCTTCCTGGTGATATAAGAATTGCATACTCTGCACCTTACTTCCATCAAAATTTCATTTAGATTTTTGTACACAGTTGGTATTTTGTTCAACACTGAATAATTTGTGCTCCTAATATTTTGGCCAGTATCTTGTACATAGTAGGGTTTTAGCTCTAATTTGCAGGTTGAGGCCCATCAAAGCAAGTAAGTCACAGTGGTAGGAGCTTGAGGGAGGTAATCACATCATACCCATAGCCAGCTGCAGAGAGCAGTGCATATATGAATGCTAGTTAGTGCCCATCATGCTCTCCCTCCTTTTCACACACTACAGGGCCAGCCTGTGAAATGGTGCTGCCAAAATTCATGCTGGGTCTTTAGACTGCAATAAACCTAGTTAAGAAAAATCTCTCACAGGTGTGCCCACACACCAACAATTCCCTAGTGAGGCTCCCTTCCCATGTGATTTTCAATTGTGTCAAGTTGGCATCTAAAACTATCACAGTTATTAAAATGAGTAAGAGAACTACGCCATAGGATGAGGCACCATATCTTTAGAGAGGCAATAAACAGAGCTTACGTGTCTACAGTTCTTAACTGGGAAAAAATACTAGAAACAATAAAACAGGAAACCTGATGGTGATGTCTCACTAAAAAGATAAATTCTTAGCTGACTGCTCAACCAACAAATCCTTCACAACACTCTTCATTTCTTATCACGTCTCTTCTTGTGGAGGGTTTGAGTGTCCAACCTTCAACAGTAACATTGCAGTTGCCCTGTATTTAGTGTTGTGAGCAAGACATTCTACTGGTACTTGCTATATGTGATACAAAGCTTACAGGCATGGCACAGTTTGGCTTTGAAGAGAAATGAGAATGAAGCAGAAAGGTCTATTTGTAGGAAAAACATCGTTGAAGGAGAATAACTGTAAAAGGAGATTTTTCAGAGCAGTGTGATGTCTAACATTTGGCTCTCACAGAACTAATTTATAGTTATTAGCTTTATCTATGAAATTCTCACACAAACATAAAATATGTATTTTCTACAAAATACCAAAAAGTCTCAGATCTATAAATAAAGAAGATATGTAAGAAGGAATGTGAAACCCTTACCAATTCAACTGTAAATTTCAAAAAGTTAGAGCACAAAGTAGGAAAAAACTGATTGGTAAAATTCTCCATTCCAAGTCCTAATTTTCCATGTCGGCCATCTCCAAAAGTATACATATGCCCTATATCTAAAATGCAAATAAAATTGAGGTTACATAAGTTCCATTTGTATGAATCTAGTTATAAACAAATACATTAACTTCTACTGAAATTATAATCTTTTCATAGAATTCTGTATTAAGTTCATTCTGCTCTACTGACCAAAACAAAGCTTAGTGTCTGTGGTTCTATAGATAATCGTAGGCAATGGAACTGAGAATGGACCACTTTACCTTGGTGGTTGCAGTATCCTTATGTGTGTCTGTCTTATGCATGGTAGTCTATTTAGCACTACCGATGGCCTCTGTCCACTACAGGCTGGTAGAAAAACCCCTTTCTGCAGCAGTGATGATCAAAAATATCCCCAGACATCATTTGTTTCTCCCAGGGGTGCAAATTTGTCACTGGTGGAGATCTATGGTACTCAGAAACAGCTGTCTCTTTCATTAATTTGGCTTTTGGGGTGTGGAATTGCTACCTAAGCAGTGCCGGGATTCATCCAACCATTTTGACTAATCCCCATATCGATATCTGGGTCCTGTCTTGATGGGGATACACTGATGAGCACTTCCTGTCACTTCTCTCTAACTAACCTTGCTACATATTGACACAGCAAGTACACCTAACTTTTGTACTTCTTTGTTAGCCCCTCCTTCACAGTCTACATTTAAAGGGTGTGGGTTAAGTGTCACAGAAGCAGAGGCCAATTAGGGCACAGATAAGGAGAACTGCTCTCTAATCAGGGGGGTAGAGAAGGCTGATTCCTAAAAGATAGAATTTAGCTATAAGAAAAAGAAATAAAGCATCATCCAGGCAGAGCCAGCACTACAAGGAAAGACTTGTATAATGGAGACCACAGGTCAGGAAAGTGGCTCAAAGGTAATCAGCAAGCTGAATAAGGAGGCCTGAGAGTTTCATGGTCTAAAGCAGTAAGGCAGGACGACACTAGGGACAGTTAAATTAGTTTAGATTATATTGGAGGAGTAGTAAGCCTTTTTAAGTGAATGCCTTTAGGCTGGGAAATGATTAGCTCATATTTGGGGAATTCTGAACAAAGAAGGCAACGTGGCTGCACACTAAGAGAATCCCCAGCACCTGACTAAAGACTGACTTGAAGTAATGTAACTCAGTAAGATGGTAAGTTACTATTTTAATTTACAAAAGTTAACAAATTCCTTATTTTGACTTTGATTTATCCAAAGTCAAAATTTATCCAAATTTTGGTAATCCCCCCCAAATTTTTTTTTAATACGTGCTTTTCAAAGGTGATTTTCTTTTTCTGAAGAAAGTAAACCCTTCTCTCATTTGCTTGGTTGTACTTCCAAGCTCAAAGAACATGTAAAAGTATGAGCTATTGATAGGGAGCAAGAATTTCAGCAAATGCACTACCTGTAACACATTGTACTAGAGAGAGAACAAAATCTGTAGCGCTTGTTCCCTGGAGAGGACACATGAGCAAAACCACAAAAAAAAAAAAAAAAAAAAAAAAAAAAAAAAACCTTAATATGCAGTGACTTGTGTCAAAACTGTTTTTAGGTAGAAAACATACTCTGCAAACTAAGCAATATATGTTAAGACACATGAGTCATAAAAAGTATATTCACCATCACTGATAATTCAGGGTTGATGAAAAATGGCACTATGAAGCCTAAGTGCCGAAGCTTAGGCACTTAGAAGCCCTAAGCACTACAGTAAAAGACACATTTCAACAGCCCCGATAGGACAATGAAGGAATGGTACTTTTTTTATATTCTACAGAGTATTGTTACATGCTCTACAAAGAAGAAAATCAATACTTGATAATGGACACGTTATTTTCCTTGAAGAGTTCTGTGGGACAGAGGATACTATTTATAGTAGTAGCTCGTGCTTTCTAATTCCTACTTTCTCTGAACAGTAATGGTTAAATGAGCACTGCTCTTTTTGAAGCTGTTTTGGATAGAGAGAGGGAAAACAGAAATATGAGATTATAGATTATTTAGTACAGTAGAACTATTTCTAACCTTTCCACATTTTATTTTGGCTTTAGATGAAACAGTGGAAATATAGGTCCTCTTGTTACAAAGTGTTTAAGTTCTCAAATATATAAATTTCCAACAGTTAACGGCTAAGTCATTTCAAGGAAGAATTTTATTGAATTCCACATTATCAACAGTATCTAGTTTATGAGAATGAGAGGCAAGCAGGCCAAAGTAATATCTTATTTGGTAACACAGAACACAATAAAGAGGAAGATGTATATATTTGCTCGGTGGTTTTTGCAGTGGCCTTCTCTCTATTTTGCAAAGGGAAGGAGTCAGTCCTTAGACGCCCCCTGGTGGTCACTACGGTACCCTTCTCTCTCTACTACTTTGCAAGAAGAAGAAGTCAGGCCTGAAACTTGATCACCCTTCATGGTTAAAGCATCCCCAAATGTCACTCAGTATGGCTGCAGCTCTTCTATACTGAGTAGATAGAAAAATAAAACTTTCCTTGTATGATTTTTCTCTCTGTCTCGAGGAGAGTTTTGGAAGCATTAAGAGACTTCAAACAAATACAATTTCAAAAGGACTTTGCAGTCTTACTCTTGACCAAAGGTCTATTTTTTGGTTCTAAATGTGGATCATTTTTATTTGGGGTGCTGGAGACTGAGTAAAGCTAAGAACCTGTGCTACAACTGAGCTATAGCCTGCATCCATATTTATGCTAATCTGAATTGTAGTTTAATTTACTTTTAAACCAAATTATAACTTTATATTTAGACTATCAATCACATAATTCCATTTCCTCAGGCATAAATTCTATAAGAAGTTAGATACATTCATTTCACATATCATCCATTTTATAATAAAGTATATCCAATTCTAGAAACAAAAATCAGAAAAATGATTTCATACCGGTCATCATGGCTGTATGGTTTTCTCCACAGGAAATATAACTTATTTTCTGATCCTTAATACGATCAATGATTTTGGGTTCTGATGTTTCAAAAAGAAAAGTGCCAAGTCCCAGTTGACCATACTGTCCCAGGCCGAAAGCATACACAAGTTTTTCTGAGAGGAAATGAACACATACATGGATTGGGATGTAAAGTAAACGAGTAACTTAATTTTAAAACATGTCTTCCCTGAGCCAGAAATATATCTATTAAGTATATAAATGAAAGGCAGGGATCATAATAGAGACACATGCAAGGCATGATTCCATCTGGGATGTACAGGATTCAAATTCATAGACTAAGAATGGTGGTTTCCAGCAGCTGAGGGAAGGGAAAGAATGCACCTTACAGCAGACACCTATCTTAGTTATGTAAGAAAGGTTTGAAAGATACTCTATCACATGTATGTGTAACAATACTATATCATATATCCTAGAATATCTTTAGTAGCTATAGCTCATGCTAATATTCTTCTTTATAGACTTATTTCAGTATTAATATGTTGTATGCAAAGGTGCCCACTGAGGCCAGAAGAAAGGTTGGAGCTGGAATCACACAGTCATTTGTGAGCTGCCCAAACTGAAGTGCTGAAATCCAAACTCATGTCCTCATAATACAAGAGCAAGGGCTTTTAACACTGAACCATCTCTACAGGCTCAAGTATTTTTATCTTGTCACAATAAAAAGGATCGTTAAAATATCTTTAACTACTACTGAGTACAGGGAATAGTACAGCATGCTCCACACATACCTGTGAGAACCACAGTGTGCCCTCCACCACAGGCTACTTGAATCACCTTCTCAGGAATTCCCACCACGCGCTGGGGTGACCTGTGATTGATCAGCAGCTGATTGGGAAGGCCCAATTTTCCATTCTCAGGTTCTCCAAATGTATATAGTTCTCCGTCCGCTGTTGGAGGAAAAGAAGAATGATTAACAGGAACATAAATATAAACAGAATACTGGTTCTTTGGTACATGTTCTCGTGTTCCACAAAAACTTGGCCAGTAATTAAGTAAATCTGATCTTTCTTAAGATCGTAAGAATATAAGCTTGTTTTTTATTTTTTAAAAACCTTCAGTTATTTTAACTAGTACCCTTCATAAAGAATTCATTACTATAAAGAATTAGAAAATCATTTTAGTTTTTATAGAAAACATTGCAAAGACACTTTTATATATTCCCAGTCCCTTTGTGGCTTACATGTGTGTGCACGTGTGGTGATAGTGGTATCAGGAATTAATTCTAGGGCCTCAAACATGTTAGTCAACAGCTTGACCATGGAGTTCAAGCCCCAGTGCTTTTTATATGCTTCAGATTTTGAGAGTAAGTTTCACAAGGTTTCCCAGGCTGGCCTCGAACTCACTCTTATAGCAGGTCTTGAACTTGGAATACTTCTCCCTTAGCCTCCTGAGTAATTAGTATTATAGGCCTTTAGAATGCTTGATGATGTATGAAATGGCTAAGTTGAATCTCTATGAAGATAACATTTTATTAGTTATATAGCACTACCAACTATTTCCACCTTGTCCACATTAACTCTACTCTCCTTTGAATTAGTTATCACATGATGATTATGAGATTCTTGAAATCAGAGACTTTCTTATTCATTTCTGTAATCCTACAACCTACTTCCTGAGTCTACTAGTAATCACTGTTGCTATGAGATCAAAAGAAAAGTGCCCCTATCATGGGGTTGCCCTTTCACACAAAGAAAGAAAATAGTGACTAGGAAAGTACTTAGGACATATAGATAGTGCCTATTCATTACAAGTTGCTGCTGCATCTTCCACTTCCTTGTATTTGTATGTCAGGAAGCCATGTGCTGACAGAAACCACTCACATCTACAAAGCGCAAAGATCAGTCAGGTTTGGAACCTGGTTCTATAACTCAGATGCAGCATCTCCTTGGTTCTAGCTAGTATATAAAACCACAGAAGGTGCAATGCTCTCACAAAGTTGTTGGGAGGGTAAGTAAAACATCTTTGTAGTTCAAAATGTATTTTAGATGGATAAATGTTATATATCTTAGAGTTGTAAACTCCTAAAAGATAAGTACTATGCTTTTATCAATGTAATTTGCTATAAAACAGTCTAAAATGTTTATCTTATTTTTTGAAATAAAAGGAATAAGAAAATTTTTTTTCTTTTGACAATCGCATGCCTGTATGATCATCTCTTATCCTCATTCCACCAAGTCCTTTCCCCGACCTCCACCCCTGCACTCATTTCTTTTGTTTGGTGATCCACTAATTGTGGATTTTTAATAGAGGATTATTTACTGGAGCACTGGCAACCTACAAGTGACTACTCAACTGAAGTTAACTTACTTCCCCTCTTACTATAACTTAATTAGCCAAGGAAGGGGTGGGGCTTCATGAGCCCCCTAATCTATGATGGGTGTCCCATCTTGTGCAGGTCTTGTGTGGGTAACAAGAACACTGTGACATCATGTTGCAGCAGCCACATCATGTCCAAAACACAGTATTTTGAACAGTCCTCCCTATCTTCCAGCTCTATTTCCCCTCCTGACTTCTATGATTTTTCCCTAAGCTGTCGAGGGGGTGTTCTGTTTAGGGATGAGCACTTAGTCTCAGCACTTTGCCTAGTTGTGTATCTCAAAATTAACTACTGTTCTAAGAGAATCCACTGAACTATTTCATGTGGGCATCTGATTACTAAGAAACCATCAGTTAGAAAGAAAGCCACAATCAACCTTCCACTGTTACTAGTGTATCTGTAAATGTAGATGTCAACATAGACATCGACTAACAGTTCAATACTTCGAAGCAGAGAAGACTACCAACAGGCCCAGGAATAAGAAAAGCTGCACATAGTGAGAAAAAGCCTTACCAAAGGACTAAGGCTTTTTTTCATTCTTCTCCATCTAACCTTCATTCTGGTTCTCACAAGAATACTCTATTGAATACTAATTTGAAACAATGAAAGAAATTACCAGGACAGGAAGAAGAGCAGATCAAAGTATAGAAGTGGATCCAGGGGAAAATGGTTTGTGAGTCTTGTTTTTAATGCCATACAAGGCTAAGAAGTTTGAGAACCAAAATTGGAAAAGGTTTCTAAAATAGCAATTTAATTTTTATAACAAACTTAGTATTCACTTTCTAAAAAGTTGGTATGTAGAAAATTTGAAATTATGAATTATCAAATGTTTTGAATTAAAACATAGATCATTTCAGTTGAACAACCATATGAACTGTAAATAATTTTAATAGATGTAATAATTGAGAAATAAGAGACATTGTAATGAATCAAAATGTTCATCTTACTTGTTACAAAAGCTGAATGGTAATATCCACAGGAGATCCATGAAATTGGCTTCCCGACAGTCACTTCATGAGGTATACACACATTACTTTTGTTTTTTAAGCCAATCTGCCCTTCAGAATTGTCACCCCACATAAAAAGTTTTCCATCCTCTATTAAAAAAAAAAAAAGTATAAGGGGAGAAAAGTCTTTAAAAGGCTATCCTGGCTCTCAAGCTATGACATGTCTTACAGACTATAATTTGTCTTCTGGATTATATTTTTTTAGTCTTATTTTATTCTTCATTGATATATAACTGTCGATATTTATGAAATGCAACATGATTCTTTAAATGCATATATACAATGTAATGATCAAATAAGGATGATTTATACAGCATCTTAAGGATTTATCCTTTCCTTGGGTTGAAAACACTCAAAATCCCCTGTCAGCTACTTTGAAATGAACAATACAACCAAGTATAGCAGCTCATAACTACAATACCAGAGCTCAAGGGGCTATGTTCGGGAGATTGCTGAGAATTTAAAGCCAGCCTTAGCTAACTTTTACATACCAGACAAGCTAGATTTACAAAGTAAGATTCTCTCAAAACAAACAAAAAAGAGAAAAAAGTAATATATTATATTACTTTTTAATAAAATATATTATAAATAATAAAATATATAATAATTATATTATTATATTGTATATGAATAATATAATAAATATATAATAAAATATATAAATAATAAAAATATAAAATATATAATAAAATATATAAAAGATATAATAAAATATATAATAATATAAAATATATAATAAAATAATATATTATTATTTTTGTTCCTCCTTTTAAACTTTAACTCAGTACTAAAAGTGGTATGTCATAAAAGTACCAAGACATTTTCATCAGCTCATGACCTTGGAGTTCACTTTCTATTGTCATATGATCTACAAGGAAAAAGTGCAGAGAATGAGATGATGCTAATTCACTTTAGTTATGACCATAACTAAACAGAGGATGGTATTTCCCATAATCACTAATGTCTCCATGAAGAAACAGTTCCCTCCTTCCAGGTAGTCTGCCTGCCATTAAACTGAGGGACCGCAGAAAGCTCTTACAAGTTTCCAGGTCAAAAGGGCAAGTTCCCAAATCAAAAACCTTGCTCTTGAGACACCATAAAAGTGTTTCAGATGAGTGAGAAATACACACACACACGATTAGAGTCAACAATCTTTTTTTTTAATTTTTGTACACCTGAAGCACAGCTTCTCTAGGTTCAGAAAATGAGATACATTAGCATATAGCATCTCAAAAACATATTAACTTATGTCCTTTATGATGTTTCAGTTTTAGGAATAGTTAAGCTAAATGTAGGATAAGTATTTTAGGGATAATCAATACTTGTTTACTTCTATATTTTTCCAAAGAACATCTTACTATTCAGCACATGTTAGCCAGGAACTCATGATCATCATGCCTCTGACTTTGAAGTTCAAGAGATTAACAGTACAACACCACCCAGCAACTTCTTTTAGTGAGTTAAAAAGTTGATCTTCAAGATAATAGACAAAATTAAAACTGGAAATAAAAACTGAATGAGTGACAATGAATAGTAAACTATATAGCTGATAAAGCAAATAAAACTCTGGTTTTCCCAATGGCCAAAGCAACACCAGATGTGCAGAGAATCTCCTGCTTGGAAGAAAGCTGCAAGCCAGAAGTTCCATGGGGTCAAAGGGATCATGGCTTTGACTTTTAAAGAAACACTCTCATATCTACTTTTGAGGACAGAGGTATATAATGACCATTATAACCCACACTTTAACAACATACATCCCAACTAATTTCTATTGATATTTCTGGTAGCAAGTTCAGTTCAAGTGCCAGGTAGACCTTTTTCATAATATGCAACAAAGATAACAAGAATATCTAAAATAATAGACAGCTAACAGGCTTGAGAACTTATTTACAAATCACCTTCTATATCGGTATTTCTTTCTCTCAAAATATGCACATAGATCTAAAGTTAAACGTTTTAAAGTCTTCGGAAGTTACACAGAATGCTGATACTGTCATGCATTTACTGAGTTGGTATATCCAATTTAAAAGAAAAGATTTGTTTGGACACAAGTCATACTCACCAGTTAGTGCAGCTGATGTATTAGTGCCAGCAGAGAGCTGTTTAATGCTATTGTTAGCTGTAAAGAAGCCAATTTGATGAAAAGTGTCTCTGTCATCAGTATCACCAAGCCCCAACTGTCCTTCATTATTTCCTCCAGCTGCATATATACTGCCTGTATCTGTAAACAGTAAGAGAAATGTTAATCAACATACTGTAGGCACACTGCTTCTTAGAAATGCTAGTAAGTAGTAGCTATCTCCTGTACTGACAGTGAAAAAAGTATGATCAAAGGTAAGAGATATAGTGGAGCTAAGGCCGAGAGAACAGCTAGAGACAAAAGTACTCAGGGGAGGACAAGGAGCAGGAAAGACTAGTAAATACAGCACTGCTAACTCTTTAGCAGCATATGGTAAAAAATATTAGTTTCCTCCACTGAGATATCTTCAACATGTGTTAGAAATCAGATGTTCACAATTAATAAATAGGGTCTCATGAAACTGAAAAGCTTCTGCAAGGCAAAGGATGCTGTCAATAGGACAAAACAGCAGTCTACAAACTGGAAAAATATCACCAACCCTATATCTTATAACAGGCTAAAATCCAATATATAAAGACCCAAAGAAATTAGACACCAACAAACCAAATAACCCAACTAAAAATTGGGGTACAAAGCTAAACAGAGATTTTTCAACAGAGGACTATCAAATGGCTGAAAAGCACTTATAGAAATGTTGAACATCCTTAGTCATCAGGAAAATGCAAATCAAAATGACTCTTGGATTCCATCTTATAGCTGTCAGAATGGCTAAGATAAAAAAAAAAAGGAACAGCTCATGCTGGCGAGGATGTGGAGCAAGGAGAACACTATTCCATTGTTGGTGGGAGTGTAAACTTGTACAACCACTTTGAAATCAACCTAGCACTTTTGAGGAATAGTCATACCTCAAGATACAGCTAAACAACTTCTGGGTATACACCACCAAACAACAAGGACATTTGCTCAACTATGTTCTTAGCAAGTTTATTCGTAATAGCCAGAATCTGGAAACAACCAAAATGTCCCTCAACCAAAGAATAGATACAGAAAGTGTAGTACATTTACACAATGGAATACTACTCAGCTATTAAAAACATGAAAATCACAAAATTTGCAGGCAAATGGATGGAACTAAAAAAAAGATCATCCTGAGTGAGGTAACCCAGACCCAGAAAGACACACATGGTATGTAGTCACTTATATAAGTGGACATTAACCATATAGTACAGGATAACCATACTACAATCTACAGACCAAAGAAGCTAATAAGGAAGATCTAAGGGAGGATCCTTGAATATCACTCAGAAGGGGAAATAAAAGACATCTGAAGTAGATAAAGAAAACTAGGTGGGAGGGGCAAAAGGGAGGGTAATTTCGGTGGAGATCAGGCATGGGGATACTGGGAGTGGGGGTGGGGTGAGCACTGAAAGAGAAATAAGTGTGGGGGAACATATCGTATCTCTGGGACAGGGGAGGCACCTCAGAGTCTACAGGGGTGTCTCTAGCTGAGACTCCTAGCATCAGGGGATACAGAGCCTAAAGTTGCCACCTCCTGTAGCCCAGTGGGACTTCCAGGGGAGCAAAGGGGACACCAGCCCACCCATAAAACATTTAACCCAAAATTTGCCTGTAATAAGTGTAGAGATAAAGATGGTACAGAGATTGAGGGAATGGTAAATCAGGGACTGGCCCAACCTGGGACCCAATCCATGGGGGAGAGTTAACCCCTGTCACTATTAATGATACTTTACTATGCTTACAGACAGGAACTGAGCTATGCTTGCAGACAGGAGTCTTCTGAGAGGCTGCTTTCAGCAGCTGATAGAAACAGATGCAGAAACCCCACAACCAAACAATAAGCTGAGCTCTGGGAGTCTTGTGAAAGAATGGGAGGAAGGATGAAAGGAAACAGAGTAGTCAAGGACATCAACAAGAAGACCTACAGAGTAAACTAACCTGGGACTAGGAGGGCTCACAGAGACTGAACCACCAACCAAAGAGCACACCTGGACTAGACCTAAATCTCCTACACATATGTAGCAGATGTGCAGCTTACTTTTCATGTGGTTCTCCTAACAATGGGAGTAGGGGTTGTCTCTGACTCTGTTGCCTGCCTTTGGATCCCTCTCCCTTAGCTGGGCTTCCTTGTCTGGCCTCAGTGGGAATGTATGTGCTTTGTTCTGATGTGACTTTATATGCCAGGGTAGGTTGGTACACATAGGAGGCATGAAGGTGAGGTGGGAACAGGAGGAAAAGGTGTGAAGGTAGGATTGGAAGAAGAGGAGGGGGCTTCAATCAGGCTGCAAAACAATTAAATAAATAAATTAATGGAGAAAAAGAAGAAATCAGATGTTGGGGATATACTTCAGTAGGAGAACTTGAAAGCAGAAATCAGCTATGGATAAATGTGCTGGCCTGCTTCCAACACTATTGAGTTTCATTAAATTTTAACTAATTTTTCTCAATACTACATTGCAATAATTCTTGTAGCTTTACGATAGGGATTGAAATCAGAATATTGCTAGCCCCAAATTCTGTTCTTTCTGAAAATGGTTTTGACTATTGTGTCTCTCCTTTGATTTTTGCATATAAATTTAAGAATCACTGTCTCAACTTGTAGATATACTATACTGCCTAGTTAGATTTTAATTGAAACTGAGATTACTCCTATCAGTAGCCTTTCCTATAACTTCCACTCTACATCTGTCATAAAGAAGGAAGAGCAAGAAATAGGAGAAAGTAACCACAGAAGTGCTCCCAGGTGGGAAATGCTGCCCCTTGATCTTTAGCTACTCAGCATTTATTTGTATACTCACAAAGGTAAATGCATATACTAAATACATTGCTATAACTCTTTTCTAATTGCCACCAAAGTATCATGCCTATTAATTTTACAAAGACACAAATGTTACTAAACTGAGACCTCAGTTATCAAGTCTGGATAGAAGTTGTACAGGATGAATACTGTACCTGTTGAAACTAAGGTGTGGTTCCTTCCACAGGCAGCAAGTTTCACTTTTTCAGGCTTAAGAGCTAGACATGAACATATGACAATTATAATATTTTACGGGTATGAAAATGATAAAGAATCCAGGTCAAATAATAAGAAACTGGTAGAACTGATATTTCTTTATTTATTATACTTCAAGGGATGGGCCTAGGGCTTTGAGCATGTTAAGCATGCACTCTGAAACTTAACTATACCTGTAACCCCAAAACTGAAATGTAAAACCTGGTATATGTGACTCCAAGTCAATGTTCTTAACTATTAATCCAGAGGTTTACCCACAGCTTACTGTACATCATAAAAACCAGTGGAGTATGGCAAACACTGACTCATTGGGTCAAAGGTAGGGCCAAAGCATCTAATTTTTTAAAAACCTACATCAAGATCCAGTACATTCTAGTATGTTACTTCTCACTAAATTAATATATTACCTAACTGCCATCAACTAATCCCTAAGATTATTAATCATAGATACATACCTGGGCTAAAATTGTTCATTTATATATTTTTAAACATTGACAAATATCTCCTAATCAGTTGACAAAGCATCTGCACAGTTGGCTAAGAGTATCTGCTTTCATGGATCTCAGTCTGTGGTAATGTTCTCTTAGGTGTTTTTAAGACCTTGGTCACTAGGAATACCATCTGTTTACTAGTCTGTGCCCAGTTAAAGTCTTTTAACTATATTAAAAGTCCAACAATAATTCCTATAAATACCATGGTTATTATAATTTCACACAAAAATTTTAATCTGAAATCTAAATTTGGGCCCTGAAGATAGAGAACACTGTCCTGATCATACCCCCAGGGTTCTTCATCATCTATTAAATTTAGTTAATGATTGTAGGCTATATACAGAAGTTTTCATATGATAAGGATAAAGTTTTCTAGTGATATTATACATACTACATACTCGAGACAATACTGGTGTCAAATACTTTGCTCTATAGTTATTATATACTAGTATTCATCAAACACTGGTATTGATGTTTTGTTCATTTCATTTCATTATTCTGCACTGTAGAATAATGTCTATTCTAATAACCAATAGCTAAATATAACTGTGATGAGACAGAACTCAAAATGATAACATATTATAATGCCTGATTTCCTTATATATAATAGCAGTAATATTAAAGCCACTTTACAAACAAGTAACATACAAACAAAGAAGCCAAAGTCAATGCTAAAGGATCATTACTTCCTCCGCTGTCCTTGGGATTTAAGTCAAAGTGATTATTGACCCCACCATAAAAGTATTTCTGAGATTCACATAAAGAACAAGAATAGGTGCTAATAATATTCAAGTACATCTTGCAAAATAAAGACATAAAATACATTTCATTTTTAATACTAAAAAGTCAAAGATCATTACTAAACTTAATTCATATAACCTGGAAAATATTTTAAAAGAACATAAATAATATAAAGAAAAGGCCCCAAACCTTTGATACATGTTGGTTTGCTGATAGATGACTTTGATCCTAATCCTAACTGACCCCAGTTGTTACTGCCAAACATGTAAAGTTTATTATTTCCTAGTGGGAGGGAAAAAGAACAAATTAAAGTAATTCTCACATAGATAAGAAGAGATGACTGAATAACAAAGAAACAAAAAAAGATACATGTTAAAAAATATCAAAGAACAAGAAATAGGAGTGGGTTATCTTGTCTGTCTATATACAGACACATTTCATTCAGTGTAGAGGTTTTAAGATCATATGTTAACAATTTTTATTGTAGTGAAATACAGTCCAAGAAAGGTATTCATGTAGAAATATCATTTAAGTATACTAAGATAACGTAAAGTTGAAAAAATGCTCTTGAATCAATTTGTAAAGGATTTTCGGATGAGTATAAAACCACTTTCTATACACTTTTAATATGTTTAACACATGATAAAGACTCTTCTTTATGTATAAAAAACAGTTAACATTTAAGTTGTTTATTTTTTTAAGTAAAATTGTGGTCAAATGAAATGTTTTAAGACCCCTTTGGGGTCCCTTGGTTTCAAATAAATGATATTTTTTTAGACATAAAAACAAATGTATTATAGAAAATAAAAATCAGACTTTTAAAATGTATCTTTCTGTGTGCAGGTTTCCTTATATGAGCTGATTCTATTAAGTATAAAAAGTCCCTAACATTAGGCAGAAAAGCTTTTATTAAATATGACACTATTTAGGTGTTATATTACTGTATTCATTTAGGATTGTAATACTAACCTGTTACAATAGCAGTATGTTCATCTCCACATGAAAGACATATGGGTATGTCATTTTTAAACCAGAATTTGCTAGGGTGGTTTTCAGCAAATTTAGTTTTTCCGAATGTAAACACAGCACCCGTGTCTGCAAATGTAAAACAATTTTATTTCACAACTTGAACCCTTGAACCATGAGGTCTGTTTTTAAAAACACATTTCCAATTACATACATATAAACCTTTTCTCCCATGACAGCTTTGACTCTGCCTGAACACCGTTTAAGCCTTCATTCTTTCACCTTAATTCAGTCCTAATCCTCAGACTTCATTTTAGTGACATCTGTTAATTTGAATATGTGTTACAATGACAAGGAAAGCATCATCCATTATTGATTGTTCTGCTGTCACTAGACAAACAAATGAGTCCTGAATAACCTAGTATAAGATGCAACTTCTACTCACTTTGATTAAGGCCTCATGGTCTGGTCCTTCACTGAGGACCTTTTTCCTCCCTTAACATCACAGGTGATTCATGGGAAGGACCTATCTAAGTGATTTTGGATTTTCTTTAGTTCTTCCAAGGAATTGCTAGTGTTTGCATGCAAGGAAGGAATGCTACTACCAGTGCTGAATATTGACAATGCCTGTGACTATCCAGTAAAACTAGGTACAGGACAGACATACACACATTATTTACAAACTGTTTCAGCTGCACTATGAGAAGCCATTTAAGGCTTTAAAAGTCAATGACAGAGCCCAATCAGAGTTTGAGACCAAGAAATTTGCCTCTGATATCCACATAATCACTGTGACATACAAACATACGCATACACACGTACACACACAGAGAGAGACCTAGAGAAAGAGAGAGAGAGACTATTTAAATATGTAAGGGCAATCATGTATTCAAATACTTTTTTTAATTTATTTTTTTATAAATTACAGTTTAGTCATTTTGTATCCCTGCTGTAGGCCTCTCCCTCATCCCCTCCCAATGCCACCCTCCCTCCCTTATCTCCTCCAATGCCCCTCCCCAAGTCTACTGATAGGGGAGGTCTTCCTCTGATACTAGCCTATCAGGTCTCATCAGGAATGGCTGCATTGTCTTCCTCTTTGTCCTGGTAAGGCTGCTCCCCAGACTCAGGGGGAGGTGATCAAACAGCCAGCCACAGAATGTCTAAATAAAAAACTCAAGTGACTATACATGCTGGAGAGGATGTAGAGAAAGGGCAAACCTCCTCTATTGCTACTGGGAATGTAAACTTGTGCAACTACTTTGGAAATCAACCTGGTGCTTTCTCAGACAATTAGGAATAGTGCTTCCTCAAGAATCAGCTATAGCACTCCTAGGCATATATCCAAAACATGCTCAAGTATTCAAATTCTCAATCTAATAATTAATATGATACAGAAATGAGTCACTTTACCAAACCTTAACTTCCTCCTTTAATTACTATGGTTATTACCAAATGGTTTGAATCTAGCAATACAAACAGGTTTGCTGTCCACAATCTATTTAGCACAGAGTTATACTAATCTCTCTTTTATTCATAGAGAATATAGTACAGAATCTACAATTCCCAACGTAAAGTCCTGCTAAAAACTGGAAATGATTACTGGTTTCTTAGAATCCTGTGATAAACAGTAGTTATATGGTAAATAATTATGAACTGCACAGCAATCTCTCTAATTAAATCATTACCAAAATGTTTATTAGTGAATATTTTATTTGTTCAACTTGCACAAGGTACTCCTCTAATAAACTAGTTTATTAGATGTTTGTTCTAAATTTCACACAGAAAATATCTCTTCTACACTATAACTGTTTTCACTTCACTATAATGGTGGGTAGGGACTCAAATACAGCTTTCAATACTTTCAGTGTGAAAGACAGAATATTTCCCAGGCTTCAACAAAGAAACTCTTCAGCTTTTCCTATTCCCACTGAGGAAAAATGAGAATTCCAGGTATGGATTAGGCCATGGAGATTAGAGATGGATGCTGAGACTTAACATTCTTAAATTGCAATTGATCTACAGGCTTGGACTAGAATCAGTTTCAAAAGACTGAAAATCCATTAATAGTTCCTAGTAACTATTTAAACACACACCACCATCCCCCAAATAGAAAGCCAGATCCAGCTTCTGAGAAATTTCTAAAGAAAGCATAGTGAATATAAATATTAACTGTACATATAATTAATTATATATAATTATATGTATAATTATATGTAATTATATAATTATCATTATATATTAATATTATGAATTAATTATATATAATAATATTATATTATATTATATTATATTATATTATATTATATTATATTAT